CGCACCCTCTCACTCCCGCGCGTCGCCTGCGAAACAGATCCGCCCCCCGGACAATCCACGCAACGCCGCGTCGACAATTTCGTCGCATGGCGCAGCGACGCACGGAGAGCGCCCTGCCCTTTCCAGAAACCACGCCCCACGCACTGCCACGGCGCGCCAACTCTCGTCGCCTCGCCAAGCAAACACTGCACACTCGGAAACCGTCTGCACCATTGCCCAGACGGGCACTGGTCCTTGCACTTCGTGGAATCACGCCCCGTGCATCTCCCAGTCGGCATGAACTCCTCGATCGCCTCTCAATCCGGACCCCCCGCCCGCTGCTTTTGCTGGCGGGGCGCAATGTCAAAAGTGAGGGATACAAGCGTGTCTGCGCGACGCTGCACCTGCGCAGGCGTCGCGCTGCTCGGCCGCGGCGACGCCCCACACACACACACACACACACACACCCCCACACACACACACACACACACACACACACACACACACACACACACACACACACACACACACACACACACACACACACACACACACACGCATCCCACCCCCGATGCTCAGGCCCACGATAGTACCTTGCATGAACGCCTGGCCCAGCGCCGCATGCGCCGTCGCTTCCACGGCCAGGGCCAAGGGGAACTGCCGCCTGATGATACAACCCTTCCACAAACTGCATGTTTGCGGCGCCACGGGGTGCGAGCCAGGCGCGCTCAGCCCTATCATAGAAAAGAACGAACACCACTTTCGGCGATTGTTTTCAACGTGGTCTCGCCGCCGCGAGTGACTCGATTCTCAGTCTCCGTCGCAGGCCCAGGATTGCACCCAACCAACGCGGCCCCGCAAAATGGTCTTGTCCCAGAACCGATCGACGCGGCATGTGAGAGCGACGGGCATGCCTGCCGCGATGGACAGGAAGCCGCACAAGTCTCCGCTCTCCTTGTCGCGGCGCTGGAGCCACAGCATCTTTCCCGCTGTAAATATGACCGCTCGCGTAACGCCTCAGGCGTTCGCGAATCCCTCGCAGGTGCGTAGACCGCGGGCTCCTGGCGCCTGCGTGAATACTGGGATGCTCGGAGCCCCTTCGCTTCGCACATGACGTCGCCGTTGGGAAACGCCACTGGCGCAACGAGGAATTTCTCCGTCTGCAGACGCGGGTCGTCGGGCCCATCCACCACGAGTCAAAGCCGCGCGGCCTTCGCCTCGGATCTCCTGCGCCCTGCCCCCCGCGATCCCGAGGAAAGCGGCGGCGTCTTCCGAGCAGCGCTCGCACGCCGCGGAGAACGCCTTCTCCGGGGCATAGCCAGCCGACATCTCTTGGAGGACGGCGTCGAGCAGGGCCCCCATCCGCGGCGGCGGCGACAAAAGCGCCGCTCGACGCCGCGCCCGAGGGCCGAATGGGCAGGGGCCTCCGGGGGCCTCCCGCCCCTCCCGGGGAAAGGACCTCTGGGTCTTCCAGCGCTCTCCGCCATGCCGACGGAGCGGGGCTCGGGGCCCATGCGTCAGGCGCGCAAGTTGCGCCGGCGGCCCCCCTTCTCCGAGTGGGGGGCCATGCCATTTCCGATCAGCCCGGGGCCCCTGCTCGCGGGGGTCGCCATGTCTACCATGCCCCCCCACTCCTTCTCGGTGACCTCCTGCAGCCCGCCGGGCGTCCCCCCCGGGCGAGGCCCGGGGCGTGCCCGACCTGGCGCGCGAGCTGCAGGAGGGCCGCGAGCGCGAGGTCCAGGGTCGGCTGCAGGCCCGACCCCCCCATCCGAACCCCGCAGGGGCGGCGGCGGCAAAGGGCCGGCAGAGAGGTGGCCCCACAGGCGACCAGGGCGAGCAAGAGAAGGTCGAGGGAGAGACCTCCGAGGCACATCCCTCCTCGTGCGCGGTCTGCCGCGTTCTCCAAATGCCGCTGCAACTCTGCGGAGGAGCAGCGGAGTCCCCTCTGGTAGGGGAACAATTGCCCGGCCTCCCGGGCCGCTGGGAGCGGCTGCCCCTCCACTTTCGAGAGGCGGGCGAGGTCCCCGCCGATGGCGCCGAGGCGGTCGTTGGGGCGCCCGTGGTCGCGGAGGCCCCTGCCCCGGATCTTCCCCTGGTAGAACTCATTAATTAGTGGTGGCCCTCCCCGCATCGGAAGGCCCCCCAGTAGAGGTAGACTGCTAACTGGTCGCTGAGGAGATGATCAGGCCCCCCCGCGCCACGGCCAGGAGGCACTGCAGCATCAGCCCCGGGGCGCCTCACAGGGTGCGTCCGAGGATCGTGGCCAGCATCTCCCCGAGGAGCATGAAGTGCCGGTCCATCAGCCTCTTTCCCTATGGGGGCTCGGGTTTTTGGCCAGTGGAATCGGCCACCCTGGGGTCTCTCCAGCGTCGCCCGAAATGCTCGGGCCCGTCGGCGGGGAGCTGGGCGCCCCCGACCTCCGCCAACAGGGCCCGGCCTCGCAGCCACCAGTCGGGCACTCCTTATCCCTCTCCAGCGGCTCCAGCGGGTTCGGTTTCCTCGCCCCCTTCCCCCGCCCTCTTCCTCCCAGTGGCCCTCCTCCTCATCGGGGGTCGGTCCCGCCTCCCCGCCCCCAAGGAGGGGGCCTAAGTCATCCTCGTCCAAGCTTTCGGGGGCAGGACGTTAACTCCTCCCGTCGCGGGGCCCGGATCCGCCCCCGCCTCCTGCCCTTGGATGGGGTTCTCTGCGTGGTCTCCCCCTCTCCGCCCCTAAGCGGGGGATCTGAATCATCCCCCTCCAAGCTTTCGGAGCCCGTCGCGGGGCCCGAATCTGCCCCCGCTCTCCCTGCCCTTGGATGGGGGTTCCCTGCGTGGTCTCCCCCGGGTTCAACGTCTGGGACGCCCCATCGCCAAGGAGCATGGCAGCTCCCGCGAGAGCGCCCGCCGCCGAGCCAGCAACCCTCATCGGCTGCTGACCGTGGTGTTGGGAGGGGCTCGCCTCCCCCACTCCAGAACCCTGTGCGATCGCGAGCCCCCGCCCTCCCCATCCCGGAGGGGGGGCCCGCATCGCTGGGGTTCAAGAGCCCCCGGGGGCCCCTCCGCAAAAGCCAACCTTTGCCCGAGCCACATGGCTTCACAAGCTTCACTGAGCCTCATGGATAAACGTCCAGGTTTGGTGTTTGGGAGCGATTCACGATTGCCACGGAGCACAGTTACGATGATTCGCGGAGCTGAAGTCCTGGGAATGGTTTTTTGGCACGTTTCAGGATCGTCAAGACGCAACAGTCAGGTTGACTCGTAGCGCTAGAGTCATGACAATACCGTTTCGGCACGCGTCAAGACCTTCAAACGGTTGTCTCCCAACGGGGCATGTCCCTCAGTGGAAATCGATCCCTGTATGGGGCCAAGGGGAGCTTGGAGGGAGGGTATCTTCAAACATCGCTTGGGTTCACACTGGTCCCCCTCCTCTTCCTCCTCCTCCTCCTCCTCCTCCTCCTCGTCATCATCATCATCATCATCATCCTCCTCCTCCTCCTCCTCCTCCTCCTCCTCCTCCTCCTCCTCCTCCTCCTCCTCCTCCTGCACCAAAAAAGAAAAGGACAGGACAGAACTGGGCCAGCAGCAGCAGCAGGGGGAAGGGGTGTGCTCAGTCCTGCACGGGTCGGCCTCCTGTCAAAACCTACCCACCTAAAGGCCGACCCAGGCAGAAGCGGGTGGCTCCAACGAGACACCTGACCTCCTCCTCCTCCTCCTCCTCCTCCTCCTCCTCCTCCTCCTCCTCCTCCTCCTCCTCCTCCTCCTCCTCCTCCACGTTCCTCCTCCCCCTCCTCCTCCCCCTCCGCCGCGGCACGGCGGCTGGGCCGAGAGAGAGAGAGAGAGGGCGCGGCCGAGCGCGGGGGGCGGCAGATGCCACGAGGAAGATGGTCTCGCTCCACGACAGGAAGTCCTGACGCTCCCACCGCCAGCGGGATGTAGAATCAACACGTATAGTAAGATACGCGATGAGGATGCGACGGCCTTGGACGTCCAATTCGAGGCTCTTCGAGCGGGGCACGGCCAGCGAAAGTGGCCAAGGATGGGCCGAGGAGGCAAGGATGCAGGGGTACCCCTGGGAAGGACGCTCATCGGGTTGACTGTAGAAGGGGAAGAGGGCAGCACACGCAGACGCAGCGGCCTCTCATCGGCCAGAAAGTGGGAAACGCAAGATTGACCTTGACGGAGGACCCAAGCGGCTGCGAGTGCCGCGAGGGGGATGAGACGAAGGAGAATGGCGCGCAAACTCCGAATACCGCACGCGGTATACCCTTCTGCCACGAAACGTGTGAAGGGTGCGACGACCTGAATTGGGAGAACTTCTGCGAACGTCGCCAGTAGGGCCTGACGTGGAACTCCCCATGGGGCCACGAAACGTGGGAAGTGTATGCCGAAATGAGGCGGCGGTGCCATGCGAACTTTCCCATTGGGGCCGTCGGTGGAACTCTCTATGGGGCCACGAACCGTGTGAGGGGTGTGCCGAAATGGGGCGGCGGTGCCATGCGGACGCTCCCGCTGGGGCCGTCGGTGGAATTCCATATGGGGCCACGAACCGTGTGAGGGGCGTGCCAAAATGGGGCGGCAGCGCCTTGCGGACGCTCCCGTTGGGGCCGTCGGTGGAGCTCCCTATGGGGCCACGAACCGTGTGAGAAGTATGCCAACATGGGGCGGCGGTGTCATACGGACGCTCCCGCTGGTGCCTTCGGTGGGGTTCCCTATAGAGCCACGAACCGTGCGAGGGGTGTACCGAAATGGGGCGGCGGTGCCATGCGGGCGCTCTTTGCGGCCAGCCGCCCCAGCGCTGGCGGCCGCAGGCGGCGGAGAGGGTGCCGCGGCCCGAAGAGCCACCGAAACCGCGCCCCGCGCCACTGCAGCCACCGTTCGCCGTGGCGCCTTGGCCTCGACGGCCGCGCGGACCGCGGCAGCCACCAGGGCCGCCCCGTCCGCCCCAGCAGTCGCCCCTCTAGCCGCGCGCTGACCAGCCATCCCGAGACGGACGGCCGAGGCGGAGGCGCGGCGTGCGGTCGCTTGGCCCCGAAATGCCCGCTGGGACCGTCGGTGGAGCTCCCTATGGGGCCACGAAACGTGCGGCGGTGCCATGCGGACGCTCCCGCTGGGGCCTTCGGTGGAGCTCCCTATGGGGCCACGAACCGTGTGAGGGGTGTGCCGAAATGGGGCGGCGGTGCCGTGCGGACGCTCCCGCTGGGGCCTTCGGTGGAACTCCCTATGGGGCCACGAACCGTGTGAGGGGTGCGCCAAAATGGGGCGGCAATTCCATGCGGACGCTCCCGCTGGGGCCGTCGGTGGAGCTCCCTTTGGGGCCACGAACCGTGTGAGGGGTGTGCCAAATGCGGCGGCGGCGCCATGGTTTAGCATTCAAGTGAGTAGTTAAAGACGGGCGAAAGAAGGAAGGCAAAGGGCGGTCTTCCCACGGGTCCTTCAAATGCAGGTCGGGCGGGTACTTTCCATCGATCATCATCGTAACCACCTCGGTGAGCCGGGGGCGGCAGTGATGACGATCACTGCGGCTTCGGACACGGCGAAGCGCACAGCGCTGCCCCCTCGGGCCCCCGAATCGGCGCTGCGAGCGCCAGAGGCGAGGCGACGCGAGCACGGCATGCGGCTACCAGCAATGATCGGCGGCGGTCGGCGGCGACAGATCCGCAAAACTGGCGAAATCGCGGCATGACCCGCGGCAGCGCGTACAAGCGGCGATCGCGAGGCGGCGCGGTCCCCGCAGGCAGGTGACCGTTGCTGTCGTCGAGGCCTCCCCCTGGTACTCCTTCACTTGCCCCCGCCCCTGCCCCGTCGCCATCTTCCTCCTACCCCCCTCCCCATCCCTCCTCCGCCCTCCTCCATACTCCTGCTGCTGCTGCTCCTCATGAATCGCCTCCTCTGTCTTCCTGGCCTCCTCAATCTGTGTCGTCGCTGTGGAACACAGGAGCGGCCCTTCCAAGAGGAAGCCGATGCTCACGCCGCAGTTCTGGAACAATTCAACAACAAAAACGCCTTGCCGCATGCAATTCTCGAACTGACCGATGTAGTCGTTGTACTTGCTGGACAATTCCTCCCAGCATTGACGGCCGCAATCGCGGCCGTAGTAGTGTATAAGCCACCGAAACTGTAGGCCTCCCCGTCCAGGCTCGCTTCTTCAACGGCTTGTCCGTCACCTCCTTCTGGTCATGCAGCTCGGTCTGGACCAGACCGAGCTGCTCTACAAGCAGCAGGCTCTAATCCTTGGTGGCATCCTCGGTGCAGGTCTCCAGAATTAGCGAGCAGGGCGATCGTGGCAAGGACCGCCTCGGCCTTCGGTTCGATTCCGTTTTTCGCCGCGCACCCCACCAGTGATCGCGGTGCCCGAGTTCTTGCCCGTGTCCTCCGTCTCGGCTGGCATGCCGACGACAGACTCCACGAGGCAATCGCGGGGCTCACCTCGGACAGCCTTTTGGCTCTTTTGGTCTGCGGCTCCAGCCCGCCGCGCAGCGCCGCGCAGAGCTCGGCTATCCCAGCTGGGGCCAGCCCCGCGGCTCCAGACTTGGGGCCCCCTCGCCCCCGGCGGCTGGCGGGCGCGCACGGGGCCAGAATGGTCCTTCGGCCTGCTCCTCCTCCCTTTCCTCCCTTTCCTCCCTCCTCCCTCCTCCCTTCTCTTCCGTCCTCCTGTTCCTCCTCCTCCTCCTCCTCCTCCTCCTCCTTGATCCTTTTATCCGTATGAATAACTCCTCACTGTCGCACACCCAAACATCCCGGTAGGGCAGGCCAGGTTTCGCCTGAGATTTATCCTGAAGCTTGAAATATGCGACAGCTTCACTGGAAGACAGGCCGTTTTACCAATGTGGTTCTCGCCATAGCGCCGCGCACGTTCGTCTTAAAAGTTTGCAGCCGTGTTTACGGATGTTGGGCGGGTGGTTTTCTAAATGCGGATCCCGCCTTAGCGCAGCGCGCATTCGTGCTAATGGTTGGCCACAGCTTCACGGATACATGGCAGTTACAGTTTCTTTCAAGGATTCGCATGACGGTGTTCTGGAAAGATCTAAGATTGTCTGGACGCAGCAGTCACGTTGATTCGCGGTGTTGAACTCTCAGGAATGGCCTTCAAGTACGAATTGGAACTGGCACGATCGAAGACTATCACACGATTCTATTCAAATGAACACTGAGGCACTTCCCGCAATGAAAAAAAATGATTGCAGGGCCCTGTGCAGAGGGAACTTGGAGAACGGTTTATTGCAACATCCTAGATTCGTCTTGGGTTTGCAGCGTGTTGTTTCTCATCATGTTCCTCCTCTTTCTCCTCCTCCTCCTCCTGCTGCTCTATACTTTCTTCTCCTTCTAGATCACTCCCCCTGTCGCACCCCCTGGCGGGTCGGTAGGGCGGACCAGGCGATCCGCTCGAGACATGATCACCACTTGTGATCATGAAAGTTGAATATTGCAGAAAGTTCACAGATGAAGGGTGGTTCTTCTTCAAAACGCTGCCTTCTCCTTAGCGCCGCGCCCGTTCTTGGCAACAACTCTACGTATGGACGGCGGCTCTGTTTCGAAATGAGGTTGTCGCATTCTAGCGCCGCGCATTCGTCTTGAAAGCTTGCTACAGCTTCACGAATGGACGGCGGTTGATTTTCAAAACGTGGCTCTCCCTGTCAAGGCAGATGTGATGTTAATGCTATCTAGCTGACCGGTCACGGCGACGCACTGTATTATCCACAGTCCCCCAGCCACGACCGTAGCATGCTCCAAAATGGCTATGTATATCCGGCGGCCCCCTTGTGGGGCCACCAGGCTGTAAGCCGAAGGTTCGCAGTTTCCTGTACCAGTTGCAGCTTCCAGTTTCCACTGTTACGGTTCTGATTCTTGCTGCTTACAGTTCCTTGTTGATGGACCGCGCGAGGGGGGGAGACCCAAAACGGGCATTTGTACCACGCCCTGAGCGTGTTGACTGAATTGCTGGGGTGGAAAAAATTACCACCCCTCACGCAGATCGGCGGGGTCAGGGTCCAAAAACACAAGGGATTTGCCACATGTCTGAAGTTCGGTGGCACCCCATCACGCAGATCGGCGGGGTGAGGGTCCAAAAACACAAAGGATTTGCCACATGTCTGAAATTTGCTGACACCCCATCATGCAGATCGGCGGGGCCACGGTCCAAAAACACAAGGGATTTGCAACATTTTGAACACTCGGTGGCACCCCATCATGCAGATCGGCGGGGTCAGGGTCTAAAAACACAAAAGATTCGTCGCATTTCTGAAATCCGATGGCACCCCCCATGCAGATCGGCAGGGTCAGAGTCCAAGAAACATATGGGATTCGCCACATTGCTGAAATTTGGCGGCACCCCTCACGCAGGTCGGCAGGGTCAGGGTCCAAAAACACAAGGCATTTGCCGCCCTTCATGCAGATCTGCACGGTCAAGGTCCAAAAACACACGGGATTCGCAAGATTTCTAAAATTCGGCGGCACCCCCCACGCAGATCCGTAGGATCAGGGCTGAAATGCAAACAGGTCCCGACACTGCTTCAGGGCGGCGCCCAGACCTCATGATTTAGCTTTTGTATCTCCCATTATCCGAGACAGGGGGCCGGCGGCATGGGGCGAAGCCCTTACGTATAAACGAACGCAAAACAGGCATCCATAGCACAGAGGGGACAAACTCTCCATACGCCGATCGTGTCCTACATGATGTACACGGGGAGGTCGTCGAAGCTATCATCCTGCCGCACGTCGTAGTATTCGGCATACCCGGTCGGCATCTCGACATCGACTAGGTGCTCGTCGTGGTCCACCGATGGGAAGAAAGGCTCACGCTGGACTCCGTCATCCAAGATGTCCTCGCGGCCTTGTTGGCGCCGCTTCTTCGCCGATGTGAAAGCCGGGTCCTTGACGAGGCGTCAATAGCCGCGCGTCGGGAAGTCAGCCAACACGAACCGTGTTGCACAGGATCCCTTTGTCAGCCCGTCGGCTGGCATGGCCTCCGAATGGACCCAGCGCAGCTCTGCGGCCCCCTCCTCCATCGCTTGCTGGAGGCCGAGCGCCTCGATGGCGGAGCGACGGTCGTCTGCTCCAGTCCTGCGCTCACGCTGCGAGCCAGTGCGTCGCACAGGCCCTTGCAGTCCGCGACCATCGTCGCTCGCGTCATCCGTAGCGCGCCTCGGACGCCTCCCAGTTTTGTTGCCGCCGTGCATCGGCTCCGTCCAAGCCATGCGCACGCAGGTCAGATCTTCGCGGCACACGCTTCCCGACTGCACCTCGCATCCCAAGGTAGACCGAGTCACTCGCGGGAGCTACTTCGAAGTAAACTGCAGGAAGAAATATGGTATGGCTCTCTCCGCGCAGTAGGAGTTCGCTCGCCCATCCCGATGATGTAGCCCCCCTGCGACTCCCCATCCTTCCGGACGGCCCATGCCGCGTCGTGGAAGGCGATGAAGACGAGATCCTCGACGGCACGAAATCGCACGGGCACGCGAGCGGTCTCATGAGCTGTGCGGATCACCTCGCCGACGCGGGCCGCCAGCCCGCACGTCGCGGCATTGGCGCATGGCGACAGGATACTCGTGACAGCTGCGATGAGGCTCTGGCCCTGAGAGGCATGGTACTGTAGGCCTCCGATGGCAGCTCGGCACGCGACGATCCCTGAGGCCGGCAGTGCGTCGTCGGCTCGGCCAGGCCGCCCGACCCAACCCTCGATCATCTCCACCTTCGCGGCAGCGGCGGCAAAGAGGGCGAGATGGTGAAGTCGACAAGCTGCGCGACGCCCACGCCCGACTGCCGGGAGCATCCTGTTTCCCAGGGGCCCCACTGCCAGTAGTTGCGCAATCCTCGTGCTTCTTCTTCGCCCTGTCGTCGCCCTCCTCGATGCTCAGCGCGAAGTCGCCCACGCACGCGAAGGCGATGGCGACCAGACGGCCCTAGTCGCACAGAGTCCAGACGCACGGCCCCAGCTTCATGGCCACCCAGCAGGACTCCGCCACACGCCTCGCGACCTCGTCGAACCACTCCTTCGGCGCGTCGCACAACCCGTAGGCCTTCTCGAGCATCAGCACGACCTCGCCCTCCTGCAGGCCCATGGCCTCGCGCAGCTCGCGGACGGGCCCCACGAAGACGCCGGTGTCGGAGCTCTGAGACAGCAAGAAGGCGGCCTTCACGTCGCCCACGTGGATACGTAGGCCCTCGTTCGCGCAGACTTGCTAGGCCAGGCTCCGGGCCCTGACGGAAGCGGTCGGGCTCGCCGTCTGCGCGCGGTCCAACCGAGGACCCTCGAAGCCCAAGAGCACTATGCAAGCCTTGGCCTTCCCGTCCGACTCCACCGCCAAGTGCCCGCGAATTCTCATTGGCCCCCTCGGGCCAGCGCCCGCTCTCACAGCCGCGGTGGTGACCTGGCTGGCCGGCCAGCTGCTCACTTCGGCGTTCTTGGCGGCCTAGAACTGCCCCCGCATGGCGTGGCCCAGCTTCCGGAGAATCACCATCGGGCCGCTCTTCTTCACAGCGGCGGCGGCGTCGGCGGCGGGGCCCCGCGCGAACCTACGCTGGGCCTTCTCGTCCGTCTCCTTGTCGGGGAAGTCGGCGTGCACATCGCTGGCGGGAGACTCGTCAGAGACGGTGGCCATGGCGCCCCCCGCGCCAAACGCCTCGCAACTCTTCTTCGGCGCAGGGCACCCCTCAGTCGCGGGCCCCCCCCGAGGCCGCACTTCGCCTCGCGGGGCTGGTAGTTGTGCTTCTGGCTCTCGGGGAGGACCCCGTGGGCCCCCCCATCTCGCTGAGCCGCTGCCTGACGCTGCAGGGCAGGTCATCCCTCGGGTCGCAGGCCCTCGACGGCTGCGAGGGCCCTTCTTCGCCACCTTCATGTTATTCGACTCCGCGCTCGGGCAAGGGCTCGCTCGCTGGCTGCCCCTGCTCCGGCCCCGAACCTGTGGCCGAGGAGTCTCGGCCTCTCGCGAGACCCCCTCGTCCAGGGGCATACCCGACTCCAGGCCCACGCTCATCTCCGCGGGGGGCGCGTCGACGTTGGCTGGCTCGCTCAACTGATCGGAGTCTGGCTCGCCCTCCCCAGCGATGCCCACCACGCGAGAGAGTCTCTTCAGAGCCTGGTCCGCGCGCTGGCGCAGGAGGTCGCGCGCGCCCGGGCCCATCTCGATCACGGCCCGCTCCGCGTCGGACACCAGACGCAGCTGCCGGGGGGCGGCTCGGAGGACCAGCCCCCGGAAAGCCAATGTCACCCCGCCCCTCAGGCGGCCTTCCTCCAGAGGCTGCCGCAGGTGTGCGAGCACGGTAGCTGGACCCAGCCCTTGGACGCCCTGTCATTGTCCTTGTTGGTCTTGCCTGCCTGTCGCCAGATGTGCACCTGGTCTCCCACGGTGAACTCACGCTGCGCCCGGGCGCGCTTCGCCGCGGTCAGTCGGGCCCGGCGGCCTGCCGGGCTCTCGGCGTAGGCCGCGCGTGCCACGAGGCGCCGTCGCACGGCCTCCTCCGCGGCAGACCCCGAGCGAGCCTCCTCCTGCAGTGGGACCACTGATCACAACAGCTCGCTGTCCGGCGGCCTCAGGCGTCGTCCGAGAACGATCTGGCCCGGGCCAAAGCCGGAGCTGTTCGGCATCTCGTTGTGGGCGGCCGCCGCCCACGCGAAGAGCTCGCCGACGCTGCGCGCAGGGCCGGGTAGGCAAGCTTCGCAGCCGCGTCCTTCACCAGCATGACGATGGACTCCACATTACGCGTCCTCCAGTGGGCTTCCCCAGACTCTGACTCCCAGAATATCGTGCTGGGCGGCCCTCTCCGTTTCGCGCGGGCCTCGTACTCTCTCTCTCTCTCTCTCTCTCTCTCTCTCTCTCTCTCTCTCTCTCTCTCCTGCAGGGTCGGTCCGGACCCGTAGTGGGCGTCCGAAGTACTGAGCCCAATCACGTACAAAGGTGCCCCACGCCTCGTCCACGCTGGCGCTGCCACACACCCACCCCCATCACGTTGCGCGGCGCGGAAGTGGGCCACCGCCTTCGCGCCGCCCTCGTCCACTAGGAGAGCGCCACGAGCCCGGGCCCCTGACAGGGGATGGACCAAGTCGAACCCGCCCACCACGAGCACGTCCAGCGGGTCTGCCAGCCACCCCGACGCCGCGGGGTGCATCGGTTGCTTCTTGAACCGTTCACAGGCCGCGCACTCCAGCTCCCCGGCACCCCGCTGCACCCAACTGGGCGCCCGTCGTCTTCGGGGAAACTCCTTGAGCACACGAGCTCCAGGATGTCCCAGCTGCGAGTATAGACGATGCGGTTTGAGACGCACCGACGTCCTCAGCTCGTCCGTCGGGCCCTCCGCCTCGGTCTCCTGCTCGACGGCCAGGGCTTCGGCCTGGTCGGTGCGCCCCGCGGTCAGCTCCGTCATCGCGCCCTCAATCTCGCTCACGCCTGCGGCGATCCCAGACACCAGAGCGCGGGCCAGCACTTCCCTGCTGAGCGTTCGGCACAGAGCCTCCGGGCACATGGCGGACTTCGCTGCCCGCTTCGACCCCCCCAGCTGGCGGCGCGCGCGATCGAGGGCACATCCATTCAAGGGCCTCAGCTGCCCGCTGGTTGGACACCAGGAACCTCCAGTTCTCGTGCGCGGCCTGGCCCGTCCGGTTGCCCCGCGCGCCCCAGGCGCATCCCGCTGCGGTAACCTCGCACAGCTGCTTCAGGAGGTTCATCAATGACTGGGCGGCACTGAAGCTGGCGGCGTCCGCAGGCTGCTCGAGGCTGAGCTCGCAATTCAGACGCAGCGCGTGCAGACCGACCTCGATCACTTTGTCCATGACTCTGGCACCCCCAGAAATATCCTTCTTCAGGCTCGCGATCTGCTGGTCGCTTTTTCCGGTTCAGGGCTTGCAAGATGGAGAACGGCGTGCATGGCGGTGATACATGGACTCGCCGGGGCCTCCTCGCCTCGATGAAGGCCTTGGCCTTCGGCGCCGCGCTGGCTCGCTGGAAGTCGTACTTGTTCCATGCCCATGCGGTAGACGGTGCCACCCCCCTCCACCACGGCCTGAACCAGGGACGAGTCCTCCGGGCACCCGATCGCGAGCAGGCCCAGCTGCGCGGGCCTCAGCATCGCCAGCAAGTCACCCTTCAGCTCCGCCTGGTAGACCTGCAGCTGGGTGACAACTGCACGCTTCTCGGCGATGCTCTGAGTTTTCGCCAGTAGGAGCGAATCTCTCGCCAGCCCCACCAGCCCAGGTGCTTCCCCAGCCCCCTTGCCGGTCCGCCCACGGACTTCGGAAGCCCGCTCCTGCTGTAGTTATGGAGGTGGCCACGAGAACTCCATGTCTCCCTGTCCTGGGCAGGGGCCACCATGCGTTGCCAGTGGTGGCCTGGCTCCCGCGAGGCCTGGGAAGTCCCCTCTGGCCCCCCTTCGAGGGCTCGCCGGCCCCCTCGGCGCAGCGGCGGCGGCTGTTCCGCATCTGCGGCACAGGCCGCGACCCCTGGGGCGCCACGGTCTCCAGGTACTCGGCCGCTCGGTCGATGTGAGGGCGCATGCACTCCTACTCTGCAAGCTCCGCCCAGCGTGACTCGAGGCTGCCGAGCTTCGACCAGAAAGCCGCCTCCTCGTCCGCTGCAAACCTGGACATCTCCTTGCAGACGTGGGCCACCTGCTCGGGGCTCGCCAGGGGGTCCGAGTCCGCCAAGAGGTCGCAAGCCTGCCCATGCGCGTCCTAGCGCAGCTCCTCGGGCGATAGGTCGCACTCCTCCGATGCGAGGCCCGTCTCCAGCGTCGCCTGCGATTCCGCACTCGGCGCTGGTCCGGTGGAGCCAGGGCGCCGCGAGATAGGGGGCCGCGAGCAGGCAGGCCCGGCCGAGGAGGAGGGCGCTTCCACGACGGGCGGGTGCTCGCCCAGCTTCTCCCGCTCCGAGTCGCTCTCCACGCTGATTGTTTGACCCTGCGGCATGTGGATACGGAGTGCTCCGAGAATTCGTCTCGCACTCGAGCCCGCAGAGCAACGGACCCGATGATGGACCCAGGCCTCTGGGTGACGTCGTCGGGAACGAGGGCTTTGATCGCGCTGCCGTTCGACTCGGCGGCGCCCTCGCTCGCGTCGAAGTCGATCTCGATAGCCGCGTCAGCGAACTTGAGAGCGCACTCGCTCGCGTCAATGTGCTCGCGAGGGCACTCGCTCGAGTCGGGGTCGATCGAAGTGTTTTCACTCCTGTGGTCGATGGCCCAGGCGATGGCGCCGATGAAACCGATGCCCCACCCGTCGGAACGGCCGTTGCTCCTCAGACGACGCCGGGAACAAATGGCAGACTTTCTTCTCCCTCGGGGATGTTAGCACTGCACCCCGGCCCCGCGCGCCCCGGGCGCAGTCGCTGCCCCTGGAGACGCGGGAGGCCTCAGTGGCCAGGGCGCAGGGGCTCCAGCTGCTCATGGTGCCCGTCCGAGCACTCTAGGTATCCGTCGTGAGTCACGTTCGCCTCCGCCTCCCCCAGGCAGTCCAGGCCCAGGGGCATCGGGCTCTCGGAGGGCGCGAGTGAGAACCAGAGCTTGCCCCCATGATCTCGCAGCCCCATCGGGTGGGGAATGGGGAATACCGCCTCCCCCGACGCTCATGCCCGTCGCGTGGCTGACAAAGGGTGACGCGGGTCCGCTCCTGCGCGCCCATCTCAGTCAGGCCCTGGCCGCACGCGTCGTACATCTACTCCCGCGCGAACTCGAAGAGGGCCGGCCCGCCCATGGACACGGCGGCTCCGCCGCCGACGATCGCGAAGCCTCGGAGGTCCGCCTCCGCGAAGAAGCCGAGGCCCAGCGCGATGTTCGGAGATGGCCAGGACCCACTTGTCCTCGCCTCCCCAGTGGGACACGCAGGAGACGGCCGCCTCGTCCGCTGCCTCGTCCGAGGGGGGCCCTGGGACACACAAATAAATACACACAAATGAAAATATTCCTCATATGTTTTCATATGTGCTGGGCTTTGTCTTCCCCCCCCCTCCCCATATGTTCCCATATTGTCTGGGGAATCGACGATGAATTTTGTCTGTGTATGTTTTCCCTCCTGATCGTCGTCGGCCTCCTCGAAGACGACGTTCATTTTCTCGTTGCCGCTGCCCCCCGTCTGGCACCTGGAGGGGCAGCCCACGGCCTCGTGCCCCAGCTGCCAGCAGAGGAGGCACGTCATGCTCGCACCGCGGCCCTGCTGAGGCCGCCCCGCTCGATCACGAGCCTGACCCGCGGGGGCTCTCGGGGACGACGGCGCACCCCTGTCGCCTCGGCGTCGGCCCGCGGGCCCCCCGAACGCACTTGCCCGCCCCCTTCAGGGTCGGCGGCAGGGCGGCCACGTCAACGACCGGGCAGTAGCCGCGAGCCCTGGAGACCTCGCTGAGCAGCTTCCGCGCCTGCTCCCAGGCGCGAGTCGTCGCGTCCGCCTCCTGCGCTGTCAGGGCCTCGTGATCTGCAGCGCTGCTACGTCCTCCTCGTCGGCCTGCGCATACTCGTCCGGCGGCAGCTCGAAGTCGTTCCCCTGTTCCTCGTACGTCTGCCGGTGGATCTCGTCGGCGCAGTGGCCCACGCGGCGCGAGCCCGGCTTCCTCTTCTTGCCCCGCACGGCCAGGTCGTTCTCCGCCTACGCATCGCGCTGACGTCTCCTCACGATCTCGAGCTTCCTGTATCCCTTGATGGCGCTGCTCACCACGGCTCTCTCCGAAGGATCCAGGTTGCTGCTGCGCCACAAGAGAAGCCCCGCACAGCACTGGGCAAGATGTCTCCCACATCTGGTACCAGCAGTTTGTGCGCCTGTTGTAGCTGGTCATACGCTTCCTCCTCGGTCTCTATCCTCTGGGCCATGCTCTGTCCTAGCCGCCGAGTCAATGCACTCCGACCTGGCCCAGCATGGAAGTCCGCGTCCGTCCTCTCGACGACGCCAGACACCACCTGAATCCCCAACTCCCTCCGGAAGGCCTCTATCAGGTTGTTGGGGCCGCCCGCGATGGCGATCGATTTCGGCTCCATCGGGGCTCCGTCCATGTCGAGGCCTGCTTCGCGAGGCAATCTGAGAGCGAAACGCTGCTGCGCGGACCCCTGCGGCAGCGCGGCCACCAGACGAAGTCCCAGCAGCGGCCTCATCTCCTTGGACGAGCCCAGCGTCAGCAGCTCCACCGCAGTGGCGTAGTCCTCCAGAGTCTCGGTCTTCCCGTTCCAGGTGGGGATGGCCATGTCGGCGCGCAGCGCGGGTGCAGCGGAGGTCCCAGCCATCGCATGCCCAGCCGCAGCTCTCGGAGCCACCGCTCCAGTACCAATGTCAGTGCAAATTGATGTCTATGGTATCTAGCTCACCGGTCACGGCGACGCAGCGTATTATCCACAGCCCCTAGCCACCACCGTAGCATGCTCCAAAATGGCGATCTATATCCGCCGGGCCCTTTGCGGGGCCATCAGGCTGCGAGGAGTAAGGTTGTTGCTCCCTGCACCACTTCCATCTTCCAGTTTCCATTGTTACAATACTGCTTTCTGCTTCCCACTGTAAAGTGCTACTGTCCGCGCGAGGGGGGGGGGAGCCGAAAAGGGCACAGGTTAGCGTCCCCCGGGAGGGTTCTCAGAATTTCTGGGGGGGGCGTGGGACACGTAAAAATACAGGAGTCTCGTGCCCCCGAAACCAGAATCCTTCGCAAATTACGCTGTGCTCGCGCCTCGCGTCTCCGAGGCCACGATCCCTCTAAATGTACACCGCATTTGCGTCTCTGAGGCCACGATCCCTTTGCAAATGACTTCACATTCGCGCCCTCGAGGCCACGATCCCTCCTAATTTACTCCACAGTCGCGGCCCTGAAGCCACGATCCCATGTAATTTACTTAATTCTCGCGCCCCCGAGGCCACGACCCCCCGCAAATTACGACAAATTCGCGCCCCTGACGCCACGATCCTTCGTAAATTACGCAGCGGGCGCGCCCCCGAGGCCACGATTCCGCCTTGCGGAGGCTGCCGAAAAGGCGCCCCCCTCTCTTAAACAGAAAAACGGTAATTTTTTGTTTTGGGACATGTGCTCCGCTGATATTATTTTGCCCCCCCCCCCGTTTCTGGAAAATCCGGCGGTGGGTTCCACATTCACCACCCCAGGCCACGATCCCTCGTAAGTTACGCCACGCTTGCGCCCCCGAGGCCACGATCCCGCGTGAATTACGCCACACTCGCGCCACCGAGGCAACGATCCCTCGTAAATTACGCCGCTAACGCGCCCCCCAGGCCACGATCCCTCGTCATTTACACCACACTCGCGTCCCCGAGGCCACGATCCCCTACTAATTACACCAAATTCGGCACCCCCCACGCTACGAATCCACCTCGCGGAAGCTGCCCAAAGGCGCCATTCCTTCTCCAGAGCAGAAAAATAACATTCCCAGAGATTGCCTGAAGCAATCTGCAGCCGCTCCCATCGCGCTTCCAGTGAACAACTGGAGGAAAATGCCAAGAAGGCAACAAAGCGTTCAACAACAACAACAACAACAACAATCATTTTACCCGAACGCTCAGTGTTCTCCCCAGTGCCAGGGTTTTCATGCGACGCCAGCCAATACCCCCACTTCGTGGGGGGGCAATGCAAGCTCTACCAAACATCCACACGACTCTCGGGAACCACCCACACCCAGCTTCCCGCCCTATGACGTCAGGACACTTCACTTCGTGGCGCGCGGACGATCGTGGATACTACACTGGCGTGGAGTACACACCCGCAGAGGTTGATCACTTGTTTGGGCCCCGCATGTGCCCCGCATGGTGCATTTGTTGCGCATGACATACATAGTACAGAGAGACAGAGAGAGAGAGAGAGCAAGACAGAGAGCCAGTGGAGAGAGAGATAGAAAGAGATTCGTCACATGTGTGAGGCAACCTGAGAAGATGTGGTACACGGTACACGTGAGATGGTACGCAGTGCCAAGATAGTTGGTCACATTTTTGATGCAAATTCCTGGGAAGGCGACGGGAGGATCGCTCTCCGAGAGAAGCTGCGAGAGGACCTCCGCGGCGGCATCGTCGGCGAAGCTCTCCCGATACTGATTGAGTCGAAGACGCTCGCCCATACATTCCTCCACAGCTTGGGCAGTGTTGAGTGCCCCCTTGGCGCCCCACTCCGTGCTGAGCCACTTCTGGCATACCCTGGCGTTAGCAGATACAGATAAATGTCCAAGGAGCCACTGCTTCAAGACGGCCCCGTCAGTGGTCCCCTCGGGCATGTCTTTGCGAATACGTTCTCCATACCAGCTCTCCAGATGGCCAGCGTTCTGCACTTGGACAAGCGTGTCTTTCGATGAATACTGCAGTAGCCACGCCGTTGCGACCCTATCTGGCACATACAGTGGTGGATCCAACTGTCGGAGCGCCCGGCATAATTTGTAAGCGGTATTATACTCGATGCCCAGGTGGCGGATGGCAGACCCGTGCTGCTCCTCCAGCTCCTTGGCGCTAGAAATACTGACCTTGCCAGTCACAACCCGATACTTGGCCCACCAAGTCTTGCACGCCTGGTGACTGGCATTGATACCCTTTGCCGCGAGCGCCTGATGCAAATAATACGCACTCTCGCAGTCGGCCAAGGGAGGCCGGGACAGCTCTGCGCCATACTGCTCGTGAAGGTCTTTCGCCGTCAAAGCCATGATCCAAGAACACAGGCGATACCTTGATCCGAGATGGCTACGGATATGAGCGTGAGAGGAAGGGGGGAAGCCTCCTGGGGCCGCTGGGGGTCCTCTTGGGGAAGGGGGGAAGCCTCCTGGCGCCGCATGGGGTCCTCTTGAGAGGCTTTGGGGGGCTTCTTGAAAGCATGTTGGGGCCTCTTGGGGGCTTATTGGATCCTCCCGGAGGACTCTTGGAGCCGCTTGGACGCCTCCTGGGGCCATCTTGGGGGCCTCTTGGAGCCAACTTGGAGCCTCTTTGGAACCTCTTGGGGGCCTCTTGGAGTCCTCTTGGGGCCTCTTGGGACCATCTTGGGCGCCTCTTGCGGCCTCATGGGCGCCTCTTGGGGCCATCTTGAGCGCCTCTTGGGGCCATCTTGGGTTTTAAAGATTCATGAAGAGCCCGCGGGTGGATTTTGATATTTTTCGGATGAGAAAGTCTTGCGTTTGCATATGTTTTCGGAACATCGCATCTTGAAATTATTGAAATCACATTATGTTTGGCAGGATTTCGGCACGCGCGCGCGGCGGCCGCGCGCATGTGCACTTCGTGTCATTTTTTGCAAGGGATGGTGGCCCTCGTAGGCTCGCAACCGTTGTTGCAGAAGGTCGAAGCACCTGAAAAGGTTCCTCGCAAAGGCCCTTTTAACAGAAATGTTTAAAATCTGGTGGGTTTCCTAGGAATCCGCAAGAGCGCGCGGAAGGACATTTTGACAATTTTTTCTGAGAAAACCATTGGGTTTTTGATGTTTTTATGTTAAAATCGCTACGAAACCTAAGGTTTTGGAAGGATTTCGTCTTGCGCGCACGAATGTCCACTTTACCTTATTTTTTGCAAGGGATTCTTGCAATTTGATCAAGTAAAAACAAGAATTTTCATTTTCTATTGTTTTTTGCAAGGGAAAACGAGCGTCAACAAAAAACCGGATCCGGAGCTCATCCACTTTTCTGAAGCTTTCGCGAAAAAATGATGAAAATGTAGCTGCGGCCTAGGCGCGGCGCAGAGGTCGCGCACCAGGGGTCCCAACAATAATAATTCTTTAGAAGGAATAATGTTCAACAACAACAACAACAGCTTCAACATCTCAATCTGTTTTGCTCATCGCCAGCCGCCCTAACATGACGTTCCCGCATGTTATCAAGACGGCGCCCGCGCATCCCAATATAGCCCTGGTGTATCCCATTATGATAGAGAGGGGGCCGGCGGCAGGGAGCGAAGCCCTTACGGATAAACGAATACAAGACAGGCAACCATAGCACAGACGAGACAAACTCTCTGTACGCCTATCGTGTCTTACATGATTCACACTCCCACCAGCGCTGCGCACACTTGTCTTAAACGTGCGCAGCCGCTTCACGGATGGAGGGCAAACTCTTTGTTCAATATGTGGTTAACGCAGTAGCTCCGCGCACATTCGTCTGGATGTTTTTAACGGTCTCGAGGACCCGTATGGTCGAGGTCAACGGAATGGTGTTCTGGCGTCAGGACGCGATAATCACACCGACTCGCGATGTTGAAGTCCCAGGAACGGCGTTCTGGCGAGATCTAGAATTGCCAGGACGCAGCACTCACGTTGATCCGTTGCGCTGAAGTCGCAGGAATTGTGTTTTGGCACGACTGAGGTTTCTCAGGCGATTGGCTTCTAATGGGCCACTTCCCTAAATAATAACAACGTCTTACATGGACCTACGAGGACACTTGGACGTAGGGTGTGTTGCAACATCGATGGTACCTATTAGGTTTATACTGGTCTTCCTCATCCTCCTCCTTTTCCTCCTCCTCCTTCTAATCGGTTTCCATCATCATACTCCTCCTGCTGCTGCTCCTCTAGATCAGTTTCCTCCTTTTCCTCCTGTTCCTCCATCCCTTGCCCTTCTAAATAACTCCTTCGTGTCGCACGCCCACACGTGTCGGCAGGGGGGCAGGGCTAGGCGTCTCGTTTCAGACTTCCTCATCATTCATAATCATGCAACTTGACAGTTGCAACGGCTTCGCGGATGGAGAGCAGACCGTGTTCAAGATGTGATTACCGCCGCAGCGCCGCGCACACTCGTCTCGAACATTTGCAACTGTTTCACGGATGGAAGCAAGTGGCTTTCAAAACTTTGCTCTCGCCAGAATGCCGCGCACACTCATCTTAACAGTTTGCATTAGCTTCACGGATGGAGGGCGGCTCTTCTTCAAAAAAATGCAGCTCTCGCCTCAGCGCCGCGCACATGATTTCTCAAAGTGTGCAGGTAGTTCACTCATGGAGAACGGATGTTGCTCGACAATTTCCACTAGCGCCGCGCACACTAGTCTTAAAAGTGTGCAGCAGTTTCACTGATGGAGGGCGGGTGGGCGGGTGGTTTTCAATGTGGTTCTCGCCTTAGCGCCGCGCGCATTTGCTTTAAAAGCTCGCAGCAGCTTCACGGATGGAGGGTGGCTCCTTCTCGAACTGTGGCTCTCGCAAAAGCGCCGCGTACACTCGTCTTAAAAACTGGCAACAGTTTCATGGATGGACGGTGGCTCCTTTTCAAAAGGCGGTTATCGCGCTAGCGCCGCGCAACGTCGCTTTAAAAGCGTAAAACCATGTGAAGGAATCTTATGGGTGACGCCCCAAGAATGGGTGACGCCCCACAAAAGGGACATCAATTACATCCCCAGGCCGAAAGTGTTTTCCTGTTGGCGCTGAACCGCACGGTCCCACGCGGTGCAAGGGACCTCTGGGAAATCATAGCGGCGAACCCAATGAAGGTCGCACGGATCCGATTTCCAACCTTACCGTAATCGTGAAATCGCGGCGGATCCCATTTCCGTGCGCGCGGATCCCATTTCTGATGTTCGGGATCCGCGTCGGACCCGACTTTTACGGCGGATCCCATTTCCACCACGTTGAAATTAATTCGACCCGGAACCCGACATGAATGGGATCCGTCGACCGCAGGCCCCCCCACGCGTTAAGATTCTACGGGGGACGGGGGTGGTCTTCTCCGACGTCAAGAGGAAAATCGCCGGCGCCCTGCGTCTCCCGACCCATCTGGCCCCCTGAAATTCCCACCGCGCGGTGGCACGCCGCGCGGCGTTCGGCGCCGCGTCTGGCCGAGCACGGATGGAGGGCATCATAGTTTCAAAACGGTGGCTGCCGCCCAAAAGCATGGTGGAGTGGACGGCGGTATCTATTCAACACGGTGGCTCACGCCCAACCATTGCGGACTGGACCGCAGCGCCTTTTCAAAAAGGTCGCTTCCGCTCAAAGCGCGGCGGAGTGGAGGACAGCATCCTTTCACGCTGGTGGCTTCTGCCCCAATCATTGTGGGACGAGGGCGCGTGTATCCTGGCCGCCTGGACGCTGCCTGGCCCAAGGCTGATGCAACGTCGGAAGCGCCGAGCGCATGCGAGGAAGTCTCGAACGGCAGTCCTCACGAGCATGCGAGGAAGTCTCGAACGGAAGCCGCAGAAAACAGATGTGCCGCTTGCGGCAAAGGACACGTCGGATGCCAAAAACGCCGGCGCCCTACGTCTCCCGACCCATCTGGCCCCCTGAAATTCCCACCGCGCGGTGGCACGCCGCGCGGCGTTCGGCGCCGCGTCTGGCCGAGCACGGATGGAGGGCATCATAGTTTCAAAACGGTGGCTGCCGCCCAAAAGCATGGTGGAGTGGACGGCGGTATCTATTCAACACGGTGGCTCACGCCCAACCACTGCGGACTGGACCGCAGCGCCTTTTCAAAAAGGTCGCTTCCGCTCAAAGCGCGGCGGAGTGGAGGGCAGCATCCTTTCACGCTGGTGGCTTCTGCCCCAATCACTGTGGGACGAGGGCGCGTGTATCCTGGCCGCCTGGACGCTGCCTGGCCCAAGGCTGATGCAACGTCAAAAGCGCCGAACGCATGCGAGGAAGTCTCGAACGGCAGTCCGCACGAGCATGCCGAAAACGCCCATCCCCACGCCGAAAGTGTTTTCCTCTTGGCGCTGAACCGCACGGTCCCAAGCGGTGAACGGGACCACTGGGAAATCATAGCGGCGAACCCAATGAGGGTCGCACGGATCCGATTTCCAACCTTACCGTAATCGTGAAATCGCGGCGGATCCCATTTCCGTGCGCGCGGATCCCATTTCTGATGTTCGGGATCCGCGTCGGACCCTACTTTTACGGCGGATCCCATTTCCACCCCGTTGAAATTAATTCGACCCGGGACCCGACATGAATGGGATCCGTCGACCGCAGGCCCCCCCCCCGCGTTAAGATTCTACGGGGGACGGGGGTGGTCCTCGTCGACGTCAAGAGGAAAATCTTTCGTTCTGCGTAAGTACTTATAGGGACATGTGCCGAGAGAGAACTTGAAGGGAGGGGTTTGTTGCAACATCGTTGATTTGTCTTGGGTTCGCACTAGTCCTCCTCCTCCTCCCCCGCCTCTTACTGATCCTCCTCCTCCTCGCGCGCGCGGGCCTATGGGAGGACACAGCCCACCGGTGCCAAACCCCTCCCAGCACAACATGCCCGCAGTGTTCTGAGCACGTCGGTCAGCGCTCGGCCCCCCGGTGCCCCAGGAGCCAGGGCGCGGGCGTTGGCAATGATGATAAACATGATGAAGTTCATGAAGATCTCGGGGGCCACGGACGCCAGCGCGGGCGGGCGAACCAGCGTGCCCCGCGGGCCCCACGGAGGACGGGGAAGAGGAGGAGCAGGAGCAGGAAGGAGGAGGAAGGTTCGGTTCGGTTCGGTCCTCCTCGAAGGAGCGAGTCGCAGCTCGCGACTGCCAGGCGGGAGCTGCCCCGATGGGAAGCTACGGCCGAAATGAGCCCTACAGGGGCTGAAGTTTGGGCCACAGGAGGTCCCCAAAAATTGAACGCAAGAAACTTCATAAAGTTTGTGGCCGCATGCAGGCCAGGATAGCATCACCTCAGGCGCACGAAGCCGAGGAGCAGGACATATAACAAACAAACGAGCCTCCAAAGGCCATGAACATACCAAACAATTGACGTTCGCCTTCGGCAAAAATACGGCGCCAGAAGAACCACCGGCCTGCGACCCCAACAGGGGGGTTGAACCACGGCGGGACTGGGATCCTCAGGAGGAGAAGAAGGGAAAGGGCACACCAGGTCCTAGCCCCCTCCCCTGAGGAGGCGTGCCTTAAACCCTGAACAAGCGCCCGCCTCCGCCAAACCTGGAGGATGGGACACCCGCGCACTCTGGTCCTCAAAATACTGGGGGGATCTACTTTTGTGGGGTGTCTAACGGGCCTCGTCAAACAAGACTGTTGGGGGTCTCGATGCTGGACACGTCGTTGTACCGCTGTTGGGGCGGATCCCAGATGCGCTGACAAACATTTTTGGGACCTGCTCCCCGCCATTGTGAGATTTCGAATATCTATGCCCCGCACAACTGGCGGCACCGACCCCCCTGTCGGCCTCTGGCCGACGAGGGGTGCCTGGCTAACCCCCGGGTCCTTGACGGGGCCACGCCATCCAAGCAGGGTGGGGTGGGAAGAAGGAGAAGGAGTAATAGTAGTAGTAGTAGTAGTAGTAGTAGTAGTAGCAGTAGTAGTAGTAGCAGTAGTAGTAGTAGTAGTAGTAGGAGGAGGAGGAGGAGGAGGAGGAAAAGGAGGGGGAGGAGGACGAGGAGGAGGAGGAGGAGGAGGAGGAAGAGGAGGAGGAGGGAGGAGGAGGGAGGAGGGGGGGAGGAGGAGGAGGATGAACGGCTATCCCCCGAGTCCTTGACGGGGCCACGCTATCCACGCAGGGTGGGCGGAGGAGGAACTTGACGCGTTCGCTTCTAGCAAAATGTGACATCGTTGCGTATGCTGGGGGCCTTCAGGAGGCTGCTCGTCGCGACGGCTGGGCTTCCTCATCGAATTTGGCGCCGAAGCACCTCCCGGGAGACAGTCCGAAGAAGAAGAGGAGCAGGAGGAGGAGGAAGCGGAGGAGGAGAAGGAGGAGGAGCAGGAGGAAAGAGAATGAAGAGGATGGATGAGGATAAGAATGAGATAAGGGAGGGGTAGGAGTAGGAGTAGGCCTAGGAGTAGAAGTAGGAGTAGGAGTAGGAAGAGGAGGAGGAGGAGGAGGAGGAGGAAGGGGAGCGAGCACAAGGGATGACGCGTCGACTTCGGGTTCGGGGACTTTGCAGGGCGATGGGACAAGGATAGCAACACAATGGATCACATAACAAGGACAACGCCAACGCCCCACAAAGAGAGACAATGAGCGTGGTCCTGCGAGGGGGATGCCACATCGCCGATGCAGCTCTCGGGGCTCGGCACAGTCTCGAGCAGCGACAAGTTAAAACTCAACAGGTTCACGCGGAAATTACGATATAGCAATGAAACCGGGCCATCGCATGGTCTCCTCAATCACCTCGAGCATTCGGGGGACAGGAATGGCGGTTCTACCCTTCGTGCCTTTAGGGTGGACCCCCAACATCAAACGATCCGCCGACACCTTGGGGTTCATCGGCGTGTGAGATGCTTCCCCCCCAAGACCCCTCCCGCGGGACCCCGGTCCGGTCGATTCGGAAGGGCGGGGGGCGGCCCCCCGGGGATCGCCCGAACGCGTCATGCGGGGAGAAGGGCTCCCAAAACGAGCCAAGAGGGCCCGAAGAGGGTCCCCAGACTGCCCAAGAAGGGCACGAGTCGCCGAAAGATCGCGCCAAGACGGCCAACATTGGCCCCAGACGGCCCCAGAGGCCCCCATGACGTTCCAAGAACTCGCCACAGAGGGTCTCAAGAGGCCTTCAAGGGGCATAAATCCTCCCACCCCTTTTGGGCAAATCCCACCAGCCCTTTGGGCGTGAGTGGTTTAGAGAGCCCGCTCTGTCCTCAACCCCACTTCTTCCCCTTCGGGGAGGGGTTTACCCCTCCCCCTACCCCCTCCCCCTGGGCCTGGAGAGGGAGCCCCGAACGTCGTCAGGGGAGTCTTTTTCGACTCCTGGGAGGGCCAAAAAACGACGACCCTCACGAGGATTCTGGTCCCGAGGGGGGGGAGGCAGTTTGGCGCCTCAACTCGTCTGTGAAGCCAAAAACATTGATTTTACTACGGTTTTGGCTCCATTTTGGCCTTCTGAGGGGGCCGCGTTCCTCTTCCTTCTTAGCAAAATCACTGATTTTACGGAGGTTTGGGGCTCATTTTGTCCTTCTCAGGGGGCAGCGCTCCTTTGCGCTTCAGAGGAGGTCGCAAGAGGCCCCAAGATGGCCCCAAGAGGCCCCCAGGAGCCTCCCAAGAGGCCTCCAAGTGGCCCCCAAGAGGCCCCCAAGAGGCCCCAAGAGGCCCCCAAGAGGTCCCCAAGAGGCCCCCAAGAGGCCCCCAGAGGCCCCACGAGGCCCTCAAGAGGCCCCCAAAAGGCCCCCAAGACGCCCCAAAAGGGGACGAGGTGCCCGAACGCCTCACGCCACGAGGAGCCCGAACGACTCACACCAGGACGAGGGGCCCGAACGACTCACGCCACGAAGAGCCCGAACGACTCGAACGACTCACACCGACGAGGCGCCCGAACGACTCACACCACGAGGAGCCCGAACGACTCACACCACGACGAGGGCCCCGAACGACTCACACCACGAGGAGCCCGAACGAGTCACACCAGGAGGAGGGGCCCGAACGACTCACACCAGGACGAGGGGCCCGAACAACTCACACCACGAGAAGCCCGAACGACTCACACCAGGACGAAGAGCCCGAACGACTCACACCACGAAGAGCCCGAACGACTCACACCAGGAAAAAGGGCCCGAACGACTCACACCAGGACGAGAAACCCCAAACGACTCAAACCACGAGGAGCGTTTTCTCTCCCTCCTCCTCCGCCTCGTCCTTCTCCCGCTCCCACCAGAAGGAGGATGTACAAGAAGGCGGGAGGAAGGAGGAACAGGGGAAATATGCGGGGGCAGGCGGAAACACGCCTGACAAACACGACTGTCGGCATGCTTCGCAAGAGTTGCTGTTTTGAGATGGGGTGGTGGGGATACGCGGATCGTAAAGAATTTACATGTTTCGGACATTCGCCTCTTGTGCTCCCACGAGGCCCACCCACGTCGAAGCATTGAAGGGGGCCGGGAGGCCCGACCAGAAGCTTCGCCTTAGGCCAAGCGCAGCACCAGCTAGGTTGTACCGTAGTAACGATAGTCCCAGTCGGAGGAGGTCGTCGAGGGAGCGACGGGCCATCTCAAGCGAAAGACGTTGTCGGTCCCGATGGCAAGTAGCATGCCTCGCGATGGGGCACAATCACATGTTGGCGGCCAGCCGCTTGAGCCCAAGCGGCCACGGGCAAACGCTCTCCAACTCTCACCCTTGTCCCAGTTCACTTTAGGAGACGAAGCGTGAGTCCGCCGCCCCTTATACAGTAGACACTATCTATACGAAACGGCAGCAAAAGGTGGGTTCGTAAGGAAGGTGAACCCGCAAGCAAGTGCCCTTGCGCGCAAGTTACCATTCGAGCAGCTCGCTGCATATGCGAGTGCTACTCAGGCGGCCTCAGACGGCATTGTCTACCCGGCCCGGTACGGAATATGACGTTCCAAGTCATGATTGAAGGATTGCGTTCCTCCCATGACCTGTAGGAGCATATCTCTGTCAATGCTCCCCTTTGCGCGGCCGTCCGCGGTCAAATCGCGAGTGTCACACCACTGGATACTGCGCACGATTCCTCGCTCCATCATCTGTCGCATCCCACTGATGTGTTTCCCAAAATACACTCCGTCGGTTTCTTCGAGTCTTCGCTTGACGAGGACTTGAAGACAGACTCAGCATCCATGGTCAAAGTGACCTTGATGCCCAGGACACCCATCTCCAGTACATCCTTCAACTGAATAAGCGTCAGTGGCCCTGCGTGGACTTCGCGCAGAGTAACGATCGTGGGACAGCAGTCCCCCAAGTCGTGGGCGGCTGCTAGTGTTTCTGCTGAATAGCTTGAGCGGACATGCAAGCGATGAGACTCGAAGTACGCATCGATCAAATGGACGACAGGCTTACTGGATGGCGTGCTTCCACGCCGTAGCATGTTTGCCCCGCGAATACCGTAGCCTTCGACCTCGTCATCGGCATTTCCTTCCACTCAGGCGTCGATAGCCGGAGTCGCTATGCAGGTCAACTTCACCCGTTGGAGTCATCGTACGATTGACGATATTCTTAGGGCAAGCCTGCAGCTTCCTGACACTTGCGCTCAGTCGTCGCACTTGTATATTGGTCGGTTCTTGGACACATTGGAGAGAGACCACATATACCATCAACCACACTTGCGTGATTAATGCGTAAGCAAACGCGTCTCAGGCTGACGAACATGTCATCGACCATCTTGGACGCTTTGGCGTCGGCGACTGCGCCGGTGAGTTCAGGATGTTGTATAGGACAGAGCTGGCTGATTATTCAAAGTGACCCAGTGTAACACGATCGTCCCCATCCTTTGTGTATCTTACAGCACAATTGGTACATGTGTGCTTGTTAAGTTTACAGCTACCAAAAGGGTCCTCGACGCACATGACGCACTTGCCGACGGCGTCCTCAGCACCGGCCACATCGATATCATCAACATGTTTGGCTGTGAGCAGGTGGTCTGAGACCAAACCATCTCGTGGCCCCTCTGAGCTTCAATCAGAAGGCTCTGGGTGCACCCTT